TTGATTAGTTGCCCCACATAGGTGCTCTGACCTGGGATTGAACCCACAACCTAGGTATATACCCTGACTGGGAATTGAACTCCTAACCTTTTTGATGTACAGGATGATGCCTAACCAACTGATTCACACAGCAAGGATAGGCATTTTTTAAATTCTTTGTTTCCTCTAACTTTCTAATTTCAAATGTCAAGTTTGTAGATTCTTTATTATGTTTGATTATGTCTGTTTTTTGTCCTTCTAATGATTTTTTTTCAACTCAGTTAGTGTGTTATTGTAATCCTCAACTCTAGAATTTCTATTTGGTTCTTTTTCACAGTTTCTATTTGTTGATAGCCTTGTTTTGTTCATGCTTCATTTTTGTAATTTTTTTATTGTCCATATTCTCTTGTAGAACATTGAGCTTATTTAAGACAATTATTTTGAATTCTTTGTCAGGTAATTCATAGATCTCCATTTCTTTAGTGTCACCTTCTGGAAATTTGTTACTTTGTTTCTTTGTATGTCTTGTTACATTCTGTTGTGTTCTCTTCGTTTGAAAAACCAGCCATTTCTCCCAGTCTTTTTGTACCGGCTTTCCACGGAGCAAGAACTTCACCCATCAGCCCTTCTAGAGATTATGAAAGTCTCTCAAAATTTATATGGGCTGTGTCTTCTCTCTGCTTCTGTGTTCAGCTTCCCAATTAGAGAGGTTTGATGGTTTCTTTGCAAGAATTTGAAATATTTTTTTCCTCTGGTGTACTGCAGGATCTTTGGCACTGCAACAAGCTGAACCTTCATTTGTTCTCTGCAGCTCCCAAAATATGCCAATTACCCATTAGTGCTCTGAGTCAGGTGACACAGAAACCAGATCCTCAGGCAGCCCCCACAGAGCTGGAATGTTGGATGTCCATTTCACTCCGATCTTTCCCTGCTGAGGAAAAGGCCATGAGCTGGATACATTCTCCTGATCACAAGTTGTGCTAGCTTTTGTCTGCAGTGGGGCTTTGATGCTTCAACAAGCCAATGAGCTCTCCTGTGTTCGCAGCACTTCTCCAGCATCCTGAATATGCTGGCTTCTCATGAGCACTCCAAGTCAGGCAAGACAGAAACAAGGTCTCTCAGGCAGTTTTCTGAAAAACCCAAATGTGGGTGTATATTCTATTCTTGTCTTTCCTTCCAAGGGAGAACTTGCAAGTTGGGCTTCCCAGTTGTGAGCTGTGTTGGCTTGTGGGTAGGGGCAGACACTCAGTTGAAATAAAATGGCTTTTCTTACCTGCTTAAAGGAAGTTGTTCTTGCCTCTGAGCTTCCTAACTGGTTTCTGGAACTATCATAAAGGCTTTTGGACCATGTATTGGTGTGAAGTCAGTGTCTTCATAAGAGAACAAGGTCTGGGGCTTCCTATTCTGCTATCTTGTTGCCTGGAAAATTTCAAGTCTTTTGATATATACAACCAAATTAATTTCAGAAAATGTGTTCACTTGTTATTCTTATATTTTTTCAATCTTGGCCATTTTAATAGGCTATGTTGAATTCTACATTTAGAATTATGTGAATTTTAAATTATGTAATGTCTGATACCTACAAAAGAATATAGCTTTATGGAGCATGTTAATAAAATTAATGAAGCCATGATAAAACATTATGACCTGAATGTTAGTTATGCCTACCCGTGTGCTCTTCCCATTCTGTCTCCTGCCTCTCTCACATGTAACTACTATGGGTTTTATATTTTATATATATTCAGGTTTACATTCTTCAGTTTCTTGCCTTTTCATATATGATTTTCTCCCGTATGCAAATAATATATTTAAGTTTGCTTGTGTTTCAGCTTTCTAAAAAGGTTTCCTTTCAGTACATAGTGTTCCAGATGCTTTTTTAACTTTAGATGTTTCTAAGATTAAGTAAGTTTAACCATTTTTATATGTTTATTATACTTTTGTAATGTTTCCTTTAGGAATTATTTCTTTGTATACATTGTCCATTTTATAGAGATATTCTTTTTTACTGATGTAGGTAATTTTCAAGATTTTCTAAATTCTCTGATTTTAAGATTTTTTCCCTTATAAAAGTATATCATTTGGAAGTTTTGTTGATTGATAATTCAGACTAATTGATCTCTCAATTCCACTTTCTGAACTTATTTGTTATTTACCTTCCCTGTAGGAAATAGTAATTATTGTTTGCTGCTATAGCTAAAAGGTTAGAATAACTTGTTTTATTATTTAGGCATAAAACCCACCCCAACTTACAATTGCTTATTGCACCATCTTTACCTGCCTATGTATGGCAGTGTTATTCCATGAAAGTTTATCACAAATGATGCAGTGAGAATATTCACAATATACCCTCAGGGGCTTTCATAATAGAAAATATTTAAAAATTATATTTATGACTTTTCAACTGGACAATGTTTTCTGACGTCAGTTTTCATTTCTAAAGGTTTGCCCTTTCTACAGGACTGGAATGCATTAGGCTGGGAATTGCACATTTGGATTTCAGCAGGGCTTTGGATGTCTGAGAGAGATGTTGGGGCTTTGTTATGCAAGAGGTATTCATATAGATAAAGTATATCTGTGTGAAAGTGAAGCAAAAGCAATGTCTAGAGCAATAATTTCCAAGCTTTCTGGACCTGAGCTCACTCAGACACTTTGAAAGACACCCATTGGCACTTGTAGAGAGAAAAAAATAATTGTATCAAAAATTACAGAACAACAAAATAACAAAAACTAAATAAAATATGTGGACACATTTAGTGCATTAAGCTAAGGCATTTTATTTCCAATAATATCAACAATGCAGGGCAATGGTTAAGTTTTTGATAAGAACCTAGAGAGGTCTTATAATTTTGGTTCGGTTTGCCAAACTTAAAATGTGGAGACTTTAAAGACCATCTTGTTTTGGTTCCTATCCCTTGACATTGTCAATGAGCTAAAATAGAAAGTGTGCTGAGACATGATCAGTGCTTATCTTTGACTACTCTCATTGTGAAAGTGAAGCTTTTACAACAAAAAAATAACATTTTGGGAATTTTAAAGAGAAGAAATAAAAACTATGGGACTGGAAGAGTGGATCTTTTAGAATACATGATAATAGAGATTTAGGACAAAAAAACGACTATCTCTTACTGATGTGAGTGCTCGTGCTCAGCCCTGTGTGAAAATCGTCAGTGATGTGAATGCATTACTTCCCCTGGCAGTCATTCTGGGTTCCAGCACCATCGTCCTTCTCAAGTCTGTCCTTACATGGAACCCGAACCAGTTGTGCTGCACAGGGCAACTCTAATGTTCTTCTAAATGAACATTCTTTTTCTAAATTTCTTTCCATCTTTTTTTCACAAGTGTTTGAATAAAGTAGATTGTGTATCTAGGTTCTCTCCTACCTGGGATGAGCTTGCACAGCCTCTGCTGCTGTATTTGTTTGATGTGGTTTTCGGGCCGCTCAGCAGCCTTGATATCACTTCCTATGTGTTCTTTCTCCCAGTGCCCTTTGTTCTTTGCTAGATTATACTTGTCAAAGTGGTCTCTAACTTCTCACTAGTGAATCAGTAAGACTGAAACCTACATAACTAAGCACACATTTGAAAGAATCTTACAGGATGTTTTTTCTGTATTATAGATTCCCAACAAGAGATTTCTTTTAAATTTCAGATCATGAGAATGACATCCCTCAGAAGTTGACTTCCAAATGAAAGAACCTGACTGTTTCTTGGCAAATAAGCATGCTTCATGATGGAGTGTTATGTTTTCTCAACATGTTAAACAAATGCATTTTTATTTTTGTTTTCAGATAGTGGCCAGAACTGTAGTACCAGTAGTAAAGGTGAACGGCTAAGTGCCAAACTCAGAGCTTTGCCTGGGACAAACGAGCCTTATGAAAGTAGCAGTCACAAAGAAATAGGCAAGTGCCCGTGCTCCCACCCAGCCCCACAGGTACACCAGGCCCGAAGACTGGTGAGATGGCAAAAATGTATAATTGGGCATTAAGAATTTCGTACATACGGACAAAATTTAAATGACTTGGAGAGCATTTCTGTTCACCCTTGAGTTGTTCAGTTTTTATTATTAAACTAACTGGTTTCACATTTGTTTTGTTTTTCATATCACTCTAATGTAAACATCTGTTTTGAACCTAGATGCCTCCTATGTGGACCCACTTGGCCCTCAAGCAGAAAGACCAAAGACTGCGGCCAAGAAAAGAATTGAAGAGGATGATTTTGCTGATGAAGAGTTAGGAGATGATTTACTTCCCGAATAATATGCACATTATATGTCATATATTGAAGGAAAGAAATTGCCTTGTGAGATAATACTAATGTTAAACCTCGGGTTAAATATACAAACTTTAATTTTGTACACTTTAAAGGCTTTATATAAATGTGTTCTGTTCTTTAAGTTGGGTGTAAGTCCTGTTTTGTTTCTAATGGAATTAAAATGTGTGAAACGAATCCTTTAGGCCCATGACTTCCTTACCCTTTTGAAAACATTGACCCCCAGTAACAAATGAATTTCATTGCACAACCAAGTATCCTCCATACACACACACGTGTGTGTGTGTTCACAAAAATTACCTTTATTACTATAGTGCATGCTATTTTCTATAATTTCACTTAAAAGTGTTATAATGAAAACTGCACTGATTTCATGGGTTGCAGCTTGAAAAATATTGTTTGTGCTAGGGACATATCCTTACTGAATCTTTATTCAAGCTACATTATTTTGAGTTTGGAATTTTTGCCTCATGGAGGATGATAATACTATTAAAACAATATGTGTGGAGGCAGTACAAAGTATAGTAAGAGAAAATGCCAAACTATGACCCGTTGCCCTTTCCTGTAGTGTCTGTGCCTTCAGCCCAGTGGCATGCACCCACATCACTGAGCAGTGGCCCAGGGTGTGGGGTAGAGGCCAGGCCTGCCTGCATTTCTCCTCAGCAGGGTGTCTGGCCCATCAACGCTATGTAGAGGAATCACAATGACGGCAGTCAGAAGAAGCGGCTCCTTGTGAAGCCCTTGCTAGAGAGGATGAGCAGTGATACAGCTGATAAGCAGTATCATGTGATGAGCAGTCTACAGCTGTGCCTGGTACTGGGGTGGCTAAGTGACCAGAGGGTGGAAGGGAGGGACTGAAGATGATAAATCAAGTTCCCATGACTGTGAGGATGGTGACATCTTCAGTGAAGAACACTGGAGAGCCTGGCTGGTGTGGCTCTGGATTGGGTGCCCACCTGCCAACCAAAGGGTCACCAGTTGGATTCCCAGTCAAGGCACATGCCTGGGTTGTGGGCCAGGTCCCTAGTGTAGGGGGTGTGTGAGAGGTAACCACACATTGATGTTTCTCTCCCTTTCTCCTTTCCTTCCCCTCTCTAAAAATAAATAAATAAAATCTTTTTAAAAAAAGAACACTAGAGAGGATTCTTTCTAAGGGAATGTGACAAGCTTGGTTTTGAGTATTCTGTTGCCTTTTTCTCGCTTGTATGTCTCATATTTGGATTTAATTAACATGCTGACATCACATGTTCATAAATATGTTTAAATGGGGGGAACTGACCACAAATTGGACAACTAAAACACTTCACACCTATTTAGAAGACACTTTGTCGACTGTTTAGACTCACAAAGATTTTACATTTTATCAAATACGTGAGCATTTTCAGTACTTTGCAATCTTTCCCAAATGAAAACTGTTAGTATTTTCTTTTCCACTTTAAAGGTAATGAAGGAAGAACAGAAAAGTTGCCATGTTAACAGACGGTGGCAGGCATTTTGTTGAATAATATACAGAATTAGTAGTCTGGTACCATATAACCTTACATGAAAGGATGTCAATAATGAGATATACTGAGTCTCTATGAAACATGTTCTCTCCCCTAAAGGACTCTTATCAAATAAAAAATAAACATTTGAGTGTTTGGTATGTTTATTTCCATTTCACCAGAAGAACAGTAAAAACATCTCATTAGAAAAAAATGTTTTATACCTCCAAAAAAAAATGTTTACCCAAGAGCTGGAAATCTCTTAAATTGGAATTTCAGTGGAATTTTTAGTAGTAAATAACATAATCTCTAAAACCCTTTATAGAATAATCAAGGCATATAGATGTGCTGCTTTTCTACACAGCATAACTGAAATGTAGTTTAGCCAGTGAATGACACCAAAGCTGCAAGCCATTCAGTGAGCCATAACTTAAGTATTTTCCACACGTTCGAAAACATGTTTAGCGGTCATCGATGTTTTTCAAAGCATCACTGCTGTAAAATGACCATATTCATGAGCCTGCCACCTAAAAAGCATAAACGGTTAATTTGTGGAATGAACAAATGAGCAAGTTTTCTTGTATTCTTGATGTATAACACGTACAATTTATTTCCTTTAATCTGTTCACAGGATAACAGGTTTGATATGATTGCTTGCACTTACAATTTAGTTATCATGAAGTAGAAATCCCTAACCTTGGGATAAACCACGTGATGCCCACTTACAGCCATAAAAATACAAATTGAGGGAAGATTTAGTACTTTGAATACAGAGTTGACAGAGAGCATAAGTATCATTTTCTGGGAGCTTAGGGGAAAGGAGGAACTGCTTCCGCTCGCCCTATTAAAGAAACTTTAAAATCTGTAATGTATTTCTTTGAACAGTGGAATCTAAGAGCAAGTCGTCCTACAGAAGAGTACCCTTGCAGGCTGTTGAGTCCCCTTTTCGCGGGTGGCCTGTTGCGTTCTTGGAGAGCTTTAGTCACTAGAAACGTCTCTTCACCCTGAGCCCGGTCCGTCCCCCTGACTTGGCGAAGTTGGCCCCTCGCATCCAGGCACAGTCTGGGCGGCGCCATCTCCGGCCGCGGCCCCTCCTCGAGCCCCGGCTCAGTCCCGCGGCCTGCGGTCCCCAGCGCACTGCTCGGTGTGACGGTCCCAACAGCTTCTCCAGGGACATGGGGTCGCTGGTGAGTACGCGCCACCGGCGGCGGGCTTCCGGCGCCCGGCTAGTGCCTGGGTCCCCTGCGCGCTGAAGGAGGAGCCGCCGGGACCCCTGCCCGGGTGGAGTCGGGATCCGGGCCGCGCGCGCGCGCGGGCGGAGGGAGAGAGGCGGCAGCGGCGGCGCGGGGACGGTGGGCTCACCGGCACTCGCAACCCGCGGCGCAGCAGCCTGGCCGGCACACGCACACGCGCACGCCGCACGCGGCCCCCCTGCGGGCTCTGGGCCGAGATCCGGGTGGGGCTCCGGGTGGGGCTCCGGATGGGGCGCGCGGGGCCAGGGGTGGGGGCGGAGCGGGGCGCGCGGGGCGCGGGGCAGGAACGCGGGGCGCGCGGGGGCCCGTGTGCTCGGCGCCCATCCTCCGGCGCGGACGCGCCTCTGATCGGCCTGTCCCTCAGGTCTGGACGCTGGCGGCCGGCGTGCTGCTGGCGCCGACTCTGGCGCTGGCGCTGTCGCCGGGCCGGGCGGGTGCCCCTAGGAGCAGCCGGCGGCCGGCGCGGGGCTGCGCTGACCGGCCGGAGGAGCTCCTAGAACAGCTGTACGGACGCCTGGCGGCCGGCGTGCTCGGCGCCTTCCAGCACACGCTGCAACCGGGCCCGCGCGAGCAGGCGCGCAACACCAGCTGCCCTGGGGGCCGGCCCGACTGGCGCTTCCGGCCGCCCACCCCGCTGCGCAGCGTGTCGCCCTGGGCCTACAGGTGAGCGGGAGACTGGGGTGCGGGCAGGAGGATGGGAGCGAGGGCAGAGGACTGGGGGGTCGTGTAGGTGGGACCGAGGGTGGGCGGGAGTTTGGGGGACTGACAACTGGACAGGTAGGATGGGGCGCTTACAGCGGGGAAAACTAAATGAAAAGGTGGCCCAGGGCAGGTGGTCCGACTGGGTTGGGAGCAGTTCATTGCCCCTAAAACTCATCACCTCCCTTGAAGGAAACCTACTGTCATGAACAGCTGTGTATCGTGTGATGTCTGGGTGGGACGGTACATAGCGCGATCCTTCCTTACATTATAACGGAGCAATGATGTCGCTAACCTATTGCCTAGTTACGTCATGGCGGTCATAACGTCACTAAGTAGCCTTAAAGACACATGGAAGGTCTTTCAGGGCATAACTGGGCTTCTCCGGACAAAAAGTGCGCCCTTTGCATTTTTCTATGACCAGTGCTGACCTCTCCAGGCCCACAGGTGCCTCCAAAGCAGGCTAAGGCCTGAGGGCAAACCCGCGGGAGAGTAACACACAGCAGTAGCAGTGGTTTGTCAAAACCTCCCGTTGAGCGTGCCCCCAGATACAACTGGATCTCAGTCCTGTAAGAAAATAAATTCTAATGTAAAAAAATAAAACCATAAAAACACGGTCAGTCATATTTATAATTAACACGTTTTTGGCTTTTGTGCTTGATGGTATTTAAGTAAAATGGGGAAACAGAATGAGCAGCAGGCGTTTTGGAAGGACACAGATTCTGTACTGGACCCACTGAGTTTCACATGCCGGGGAGTGCATATGTGTGACCAGCAGGCCGAAGGTGTGGTCTCACAGATCAGGGCTGGAGTGCAGATTGAGAGTTGTTAGCCCTACAGCAGTGAGTTAACCTAAGCAGCTGCCTTCCCTAGGAACTGACATCTCTGCCTCCCCAAGACCCATCCCAGAGCTGCAGGGAGAGAAGAGAGCTAAGGGAGGTTATGGACAGGAACAGCACACAGTGTTGGTGGGGGTGGGGGGTGTCCTGGTCTGAGCTGCCCTGGCTGCCAGGGAGTCTTTGTATCATCAGAGTTGTTTTTTCATATTATTTAGCAACACTGGTGAAATTCAGTCCACCCCTGTTTTTTTCAGAAAGTAAGTGGAAGCCAGAGGGCTTGCCCTCTGAAGTCTTCTAGGGACGGGCCTGGGCCAGGAATGCAGATTGTTGGATGCTAAAGGGTCCTGCCTTCTGTTCACTTCTTCCCACCTTGTCCAGGAGGGCCGTGGGAAGACAGGATCAGCTCCTCAGTGATGTTACTGTGGGCCGGTTTTGGTGGGATAGTAAGTATTCAAATCTAAAGACAGAGACAGCATGCTTAAGAAAGATGGGTAGGGAAATGGACTCCAAGTCAGAAGTTCTGAAAGGCACGGAAAAGACCACTCTAGGTGGATAAGACAGGCTTTAAAATAAAAATTTGGAATATAAGGTGGCTTTCCATGTCTTTACGGGAGAGATAGATACTCAATAAGTGGTGTTGGGACAGCTGAATCCCAGAAAAAAATACTGGAAAAAATATGATTAGATGTCCAGTCCTATATGTAAATAAATTTTAATGTAAAAAATAAAACCACTAAAGCAGATAAAAACAGTTATATTTATAATCTTGGAAGGTGAGGCTTACTTTGTGACCCCAATGTCATGAAAGACGAGATTCATCAATTTAGTTACATAATTATATACCATTTCTTCTTGGCAAAATTTAAAAAATAAATAAAGAAGAAGAAAAATATAAGGCCAACAGAAATACTTGCTGCCCATGTCACAAAGGACTCCTTCCCTAAGGAACTCCTCCAAACCAGTGAGAGGAAGACCTTGTGAAATGATAAGGAGAGGCCATGGACAGTCCCGGGAAGGAGGTCAAGTGATTCAAACACTTGAAACATTCGGAGATGCTGGACTTCAGGCGCAATGAGTGACATCAGGCTCTGTTTGGCGCCCACCAGGCTCTGTTGGCAAGGCTGTAGGAAAAGGCGCTCTCGTACAATAGGGGGGTGTGCATTGGTGCAGCATTTATGGAGGGCAGTCGGGTATTAACTATCAGATTTTAAATCCACACACTCTTCCATCCAGCAGTTCCACGTGGAATCCTCACTTGGCCATGTTACAGATGGTGTTCATTGTGGTAATAGCAAGGGATTAGAGCCATCTAAACCTCCACCAATAAGCAACCCATTTGATAAATGTTTCAAAAGCAGCTACAGAGAGGAAGGGGGCAGGTCTGAAAGTACCTCAGTGGACAAGTCCATCGTCAGCATAAGGGAAGCAGGTAAGGTGCAGGGTGTGGGCAGCACTCTGCCAGTGGTGGTTAAGAGAGAAGCAGTTACATAACACAGACACGTTAGGAGCTATTTTAAACTGTACACACACACACACACACACACACACATGCTTTGGGACATCTTTGGAATGTGCTTATCACCATGCCTGTCAGGAGGTAACGGGTGGGGAGACTTACAGGATATAAGAGTCACTCTTGTATCATCTGCATTTCCTGCCTTGTGCATGCATTCCTTATTTTAAAACATCTTAATTTTTAATTTGAGGCTAGAAAAGGAAGTTCAGCAATCATGAGGGCAGAGCAGATACTAAGGGAACAAAACCTCAGCAGGTAACTGGCCCTTGATTTACTGAGAGTGCAGGAGCAAGGAGCATGTTGATCTTAGGGGATGCAGGGCTAATGGCATGGCCCCTGCAGGCATCCTGACAGATTTCTCAGAGCCCCTGGGGACCCCACATCTGGGCTGACCACCACTGAGGAGCTCAGCCTGTGGAGCATAAGGAATTGGGCCAGAACAGTCCGTAAATGGGCTCTGGAATTCCATCAGAGCACCTATGCTGCTGACCAAGGTGTTATTAGAAAAGCACCATTCAACCTCTAGAACAGAAAAATATTTTCTCATTTACTTTCTGTCTTTATGTTTATTTCTCTTGAGCTATAAAAACAAAAATGCCAAAATAAAATCAATGTGATTGCTCAATATGTTTTTAAGGCAGATTGACATAGTCAGAAATACATTGTAAGAATAGTGAGTTTTATGAAAGTTTAAAGATACATGCCACTCACTTATGTTGAAACCCCAAAGATAAATACCTACCAGTACTCTAAATAGTTTTCATTGTTTATATTTTTAAATTCTGGGTAATAGTCCAAAAATAGCTTTCCTATAGGAGATGGTAGTGCACAGACATTTGTTTTCGGGCTTTGTTACTTTCATACGTAGCCCTTTCCTGCAGGGAATGGAGGACACCACACCCAGATTCATGTTGCAGCGAGCAGCTCCGTGGACAGCAATGACAGAAAAGGAATAAAAGGAAAGAAACAACCGGGAGTGAAGGAGAGAAAGGAGAGAAGGGAGAGCAGGGAACGGGAAGTTGAGTGACTGAAAAATAGAGGCAATGAGCCCTGGCTGGGTGGCTCAGTTGGTTGGAGCACCGTCCCATACACCAGAAAGTTGCAGGTTCTATTCCTGCTCAGGGCACATACGTAGGTTGCGGGTTCAGTACCCTGTTGAGGTGCTTATGGAAGGCAACCAACTGATTAATGTTTTTCTCTCTCCCTTCCTCTCTCTCTAAAAATTAATAATGAAGTATCCTCTGGTGAGGATTTTAAGAAAATAGAAGCAGCAGGACTCCAGGGAGTGTGCAGAGGCAGGGGACCACCCTCAGCTAGGTGGGTTCCTCCCCAAGCAACCAAGGAGTGTCATAGGAGGGGCCACTGAAGGACAATCAGGACAGCTCAGAAGCTGAGTGGCCCATCAGTAAACACCAGTAAAGATGTGTTCCTATGGAGAATCCAGCTTGGCACCCCTCTCTATTCCCAGAACTTTGGGAAGGTTACTTTGGGGAGCTCATATGGGTTAAGTGAGGTCACTGCCTGGACCAGGCCAGCAGTGCCCACTCACTGAGATGACCTTCATGGTCCTCTAAGTCCATCATCGGATATTTTTCAGTGCTGCATTCAAAAAAGGTTTTCATGAGGACAAGTTGAAATAAAAGGATATTTTTGCCTCCCCTCGTCTAACCCAAGCATCTAGTTTCCCTGAGGTATCCATAACTTGTTCCCTCTCCCACATGGGACAGCCGCACCTGCCCGTCTAACAGTGACTGAGCGGGGCAGGGTGCCCAGACCACAGACCCGATGCCTTTCTCCTGGAGCACACAAGTTTTTCTTCATCTCATCATTTTTAAATTGTAAAAGGACAATAATACAAATTAGAGAAAGTTGGAGAAGTTGGGAGTGCAGTGTTAGACAGAGTCATCCCCACCGTGGTGATGGCCTCTTTTAGTATTCCCATTTATCTTCCTGTCAATGCATCCTCCACCCTGTGCGCGCTTTCCCATTTGTGTCCAAGCCCTAAGAACAAAGGTTTTCAAGGTCAGGTCCTGTGTGGTCCACTCCCAGGACCTGGGAGTGGCTCTGCCCACTGGCTGTAACCCACAGTGGGCAGCACCAGACTGACTCACCCCTGGTGGACCATGGTTTCCGGGGAGGCCATCTGTGTGGTCTTTCTGGGGAGCCTTTCTCTTTCACAATGTTTCTCTTTAGCAAGTTCGCTTTTTCCTGGGTCCCTGCTTCCAACCTGTGGGCTATTCTAATGACGTATAAACAAACTGCCAAAACCATTGTGCCTTCAAGCAGTGTCCACATATGTAACAACAGCACAGGTTGCTGTATCCTCTCTGAGGCGGGACATTCTGTTATGAAAGAAAGTCAGAGTTGGGGACAGGGACAGAGCAGAGAGAGAGAAGTGGTGGCCATCTGCCTGGGAGGAAAAGGTTCAGTTATGGTCTGAACACAGCGCTTTGGGGGCTGTCCATAAAGATGTGTGATTGTAGATTCAAAGCAGCTTGTTTGAGAAATGTTGGGATTTTACCCCCAAAAATGTGTTTATGGATAAATGAGCTTTTATTGACCAAAATGCTGCACAGATTTTTTCCCCTGAGGGACTGGAAATGTGGCAG